AAAGCATCATCAATAAGAATGGAGACTATTTCATTTAATAAATGTTTTGATATATAAATTGTGTCGGGTTTTTTCATCTAAAAAAGCGACATTCATTTAATGACGACCTAATACATATATATTACTAGATTAATGCATTTCCTTCAGACAAAATATTGTCCCTATTTTGTATTTGGTAGCCGTCCCTAATTTTGAACTGTGGATCGGAGGAAGAGAAACCAGTCGGTAGCATCTATAGGCTAATCTTAACCGAATAACAATGTTGGCTGTCACTCTTATAACCCATTCACAGGTGAAAGTGCGAAGATATTTGGTAAAACCATGTCTTAAACCTGAGACTTAAATTACCGGTCTGATACTCTTGTTCCTCGGCAAATGGCTCTCAACCTTTTCCACTCTACGGACCGGCAAATCTGTGTGAAAAATTTAGAGAACGTAAGAGAATATAGCCATTTAAATCCGTATTATAGTATATGATCTATAGGTTTTAACTACACAGAATGTAGTGCTGTAAAAACAAGTTTGAAAGGGTTCAAAATTTTAATAATGTGAATATTCATTTAGAAACAATGGTGCACATTTATAATTATCATTATATACATACATAATTAATGCGGTTGGGTTCGAGTGAATTGAAAGTAAAAGAAAAAAGAAAAAAAGCACGATTCAGCCAACAACAACATTGAAAGTAATGTTCCGCTAGGCGATTAGAGATCAACAAAAGCGTTATTTCCTAATTTCACTACTTTAAGGATTCTTAGTTTTGAAGTTATGAGGCTCATTTATTTTACAATGAACTAAGAAGAAAACAGCACCTTTCACGTATTCTTAACGCAGGCACAAATTAGAAAGTTCACGAAAAACAAATCTTTCACAGAGATATCTCTCTCTCTCTCTTCTTTTTTTTTTCCATTGGATATTTCTGCAGACAGGCACCGGTCGTGCACAGACCAGCGGTTGGCCTTGGTAAAGCTGTATTATTCATTATGTGTTATATCTTGTGTGATGCAATGAGTATTATTCGTGTATAACTGACTTTTATGGATCGACTAAACTTTTACTTCTTCCTCCAGGCGATAGCACGACTGAAGCTGTAGGTCACATTGACTTTTACCCAAACGGAGGTGACTACCAACCAGGATGCTTGTTAGATCCAATCAGCACGCTTTTCACCCAAGGCTTCGAGCAAGGTTGCGAAAAACATTTTTTGTTTTTTTATCCTAATTCGTTGTGTTTACAAATATACAAGTAAAAATAACACCAGGAAAAAAGGTGAGATCTATTGTATTTTACGACAACATAGTAACACGAGACACTCTGGACGTTGTACAAAAACAATATATAAAAATATATTAAACTAAAAGTTCAGAATAAGCAAATGATTATAAATAACGGCTTAAGTAATACGTTTTTCATATTAGCCATAGTATCCTTTGACAGAAATATCAATTCTAAATATGCTCTTAGCAAGCCAGTAGCCAGGGGGGTGCGAACAAACCTTCCCACTCTTGCCGGAGTTCCGCCCGCCTATTAACATTTATTTTTTCCTTTCTTTGATGATGGCCTCTAATTATATAATTGCTTTGTAACACTGTGCATACATACGGAAATAGCATTTTTATACTTAACAGACGAAATTTACGAGAAATTTTTATTTGCAGTGACAATAAAAGAAACATTACATATTTGGGAAAATATTTTTCGTTCCTGGACACTAAAGTTACAACTTACACATGAAACGAGTTCCACTTTGAAACAAAAAACAAACAAGCAAAAAAAACCTTCACTTCCAGACCTGGCGACGGGCTTAGCTCTTGGTGTAGTTAATTCGGTTGATTAGAGTTATTCACGCGTATTTGTTGATGATGAATATTTATCCACTTATAGAAACACGGAAATCACATCATAATCAAACGTTGTTTAACTCAACAGGGATAACAAAGAACTGATTTTTTCTCTGAATATATTTATAACACCAGACTTTTCGTGATGGACAAATTCAAACACACACACACACACAAAACGCAGTTTTTTAAAACTCTTTTGACCCTAATAATATTGTAACACGTACTGGGAGCCTTGACGTAATTTTTATGTACCATAGATAGTCACGTGTTTTTAAAGAAAGTGACAGGTGTTGTTTTTAATAACAATCGTTTTCAAGTTAATACCGTTATGAACTTGAATAAGGTGGGGTTGGTATTGTTAGAAATAACTTGGAATCTCATCATTGTTTATTCAAACTCATTTCAGAAATAATAGAAATTCTGCTCCCTGTTCTTGGGACACCAAGGAACCATTTTGTATATCACACCCATCCTCGATAAATAGTAAAAACTTAAACCCGCCCTTTATTTTTCAGTAAATTACTGAGTACCTTTTAAACCCTTTTAAGGTGTTGTCCTATATTACTGCAATGGCAACTCATTCCATAAGCCAATTACTATGTTAGTAAAATAAAACTTTCTTAACTGGAGCCTATCCTATCATTTCCAACTCATAAACTTTTGCCTTTTCGTCCTATTGTATTCAGGATTCAGCACAAAGAATTCAGCGACATTTATCTTATTGACCCCTAGGTAATCCTGTACACTTTGATAAACTCACTTGTTACCCTCCCTTTCTCAAGGGAAAATAAGTTAAAATATCTCAACATATCTCCATAATATTTTAACGTTGTGTGTTATTTATTTATTATTTTAACCTTTTTTATCCTCGGAATCATTCTAGCAGCTCTCCACTAAACTCTTTCCAATAAGTCAATATCATTTCTTAGATGAGGAGATTAAACATGTACACATTATCCCAAGCTTGTGTTAACTAATGATTTGTATAAAGATATAATTACTTCGATCGTTTGACTTGTAATCCATATATCCATAAATACGCCCTAAAAGTCTATTAGCTTTACTACTAGAAACAGAACATTGTTTCAAGGGCCTAAGTGACTTATCCACCAATATGCCAAGATTCGTTTTCTTCAGTCACGCTATTGAGTGGGTTCACTCTATATTAAATGTGTGATCAAAACTGTGATAAGCCAAGTGCATTATCTTGCATTTACTATAATCAAAGGTCGTTTGCCAAATATTTGTCTAATTAACCAATTTCTCAAGTCATTTTGTAGTACCTCAATATTCTCAATACAGTTAGAAATACTTAGCAGTTTAATGTCATCTGCAAACTTTACTACTTTAATAATTTTCTCAATATCTATATCAATGTAGATGAGAAAGAGCAAAGGCTCAAGCACTGATCCTCGAGGCACTCCACTAGTAATAAGGGGAGTCCAGTTTGATTAGACTCCATCACTAAATATTTACTGATTTATTTCATCCGATCAACCTACAGTCCAGTTTGCTACCCTTTTTCCAACCCCCCACAGATGTGATTTTTTAGCTAATATTTTGAATGACATCTTATAAATAGCTTTTGATAAGTCCAAGTACACCAAGTTTACACCATTTTATGCGTCTGGATAACACGTACTATTCTCAAAAAACATTTTAACATTTACAAACCTTTAATATTTATACAAAAACTTTTGAAACCTTTAGGTATAAGGCGTATAGCTGCTTGTGACCAGATGAGAGCCATTGACTATTTTTTAGAAGCAATAGATGGTGAAAACTGTACACCAGTAGGTGTCGCTTGTGACAGTTGGGAAAATTACTTGGACGGGAAATGCACGGACTGCGGGGAGGATGGTCAGAACTGTATCATGATTGGCCCAGAAGCTGAAATTTTTCGGAAATTCAAGGATAAAAAAAATGGCAAAAAGTTCTACCTGAAAACATCTTCCACGAAACCATACTGCTGTGAGTTGGATGAGTCAATCGTAAGAATTATCAGTTAAAATATTAAACCATTAATGAAATTAAACATTAAAAACGTCGAGTATATAGATGAAGAGACACGAACCTTTCGCTCGAATTTTATCAGTTAAAATCCTTTTTTATGTTCTTGGTGTTTTTCAGTGCATGCGTACCAGATTCAGGTAAGCCTAGTTGAAGAGAATGACATTCCACGTCAGCGAGGAGAGCTGCACGTAACTGTGAATGGTGAGAAAGGTAACTGGCGGATTCGGACACGGTTAGTACTAAGCTGCGTATTTTTAGCTAATATTTAGTACAATGGAAACAGATATATATTTCCAACATTTTCTTTATTTGTGTTTCATTTGATTAGTTTTGTGAAATAATGACACACACATATATGAACATTTTTAAATACATGGTTTGTTCGTTTTTGTGCAAAGCTACACAATGCATTATTTGCTCTATGCCCATCGCAAGGAATTGAACCCCGAATTAATTTTAGCGTTTCAAGTCCGTTAACTTACCTCTGACTCATCAAGGGACCAGATACATGAACCCAGCTTTTCAACTTCCGGGAAGAATGAAGTAATCCAGTGAAGAAAAAAGTTTATATTTAGGGAATAGTCTTAGGTTTAAGTCAAGTAATAAGTTTCAGTACTGCAGGTTCTATAGTCAATTTATTAGGTTTAACTCAATTACTTGCTCAACAAATTTTGTTTGTATTTGATGTGTTTTATGTGCTGGCCTCCACCAGGTTAGCTTGACACTACGCGCACAATTAATTTTAGTAAGCAAAATATGCAGTTTACTTGGGTTTTTGAAAACATTAGCTAATATTCACTAGATATTATCTTACGAAATAAGGGAAGCAAAAGCAAAAAACAATGTAAAGTGAAGATACGTTAAGTTATAAAACTATCTATCAAGGGGCATAGTAGAGCATATTTGTTTATTTCTCTTTTTCTTTTAAAAGCAGCATCTTGTTGAAAAAGTTTCAATATTGTAAAAATAAATATAAATTATATGCAAATATGAATGTTAAGATTTGCCCCCCTTTTTTTTCAAATTTCTGGATACACCACTGTTCACACCACTAAAAATCTAGGTTCGATGATCCCGAGGCGGATACAGCGCAGATAGTCCATTGTGTAGCTTTGCGCTAAAGGGAAACAAACAAACATTTCAAAGCTTGCGATATGTTGTAGTACCCAACAAAATCCAGGTATCTGATATGTTTTCTTAACGACCAGATTGTAAAATCAGAGCCCTAAAATAGTATTTTGTTGGTTACAAAATGATACATAAATGTTTGAATTATTTATTCAGGCCACAACTACTTGAACCTGGAGAAAAATACAGCTACGTCGAGTCTACTACGAGAGATATTGGACCCATAAAAAATATTAACTTTAAGTGGGTCAGTCGGGCTCCAACTATTTTTGATCCTGATTTTTGGCAGGGTGAGACGTACGATAATGAAAAAGGATTGCATTTTGGAAGAATCTCAATAATGCCTCTGAACACTGGGAAAAACGAGTGAGAAGTTGATACATAATAAACATATAAAAAGCTGTATTACCACCATTCGACCTTGTATATATGTATGTGTTTATATAAGGTTTAGATGAAGAGAAAGTATTAATATAATTTGAGTAATGTGTGAAGTTTAACTAGGTGCCTCAACTAGGCTAAATACATATGAAAAAATAATTGTTTCCTGATTATGATGAGTTTATTCGTCTTTTAAAATTTCGGGAAAAAAGAATGCCTACCAAACTGTTTCATTTTGTACCGTAATTTAATAATATCTCCATAAATCAAGGATATCATGATTGTTCCTCTATCCTCTAACGAGGCGTCAAACGTAACTTTATAATTTAAGGTAAATTGTTTGGTTATTTAATCTCCGTTACCCAGGAAAATTATCAATCGACTTTTCAGTTGATAAATGTCAGTACTATTTGTAAATTGACAAGTTGTCTGAGAAATATACTTGCTGATTTATCAAATGTACATGACAATTTATAATCCCCACTTCGCTTTATTAAATCGTCAGTTTATTAAGTGCACAAATCGATTTATGAAATGTGCTCGAGAATTTACAACTGTACATTTCATTTTATTAAACTACATGTTGGTTTGTACATCTACATATCTATTTGTAACTTACATTGCAGCTCAAGAGGCTGAGAATGTACCGGGTGTCCAAAACTTACTTGACGTATTATAAACTTTAACCACGACAAAGCAATAATAGGTACGAACTTATGGTTTGTAGTGGATGAAGGGCATATGCAGGCAGTTTTTGCCATACCAAGTGCAATCACATATAACGCATGCGCTGTCACCGAATACGTCATTGACAAACAAGGTGACAGAGAAGGCTATGTGCGTTCTAAGGCCTGGCATGGCCGGTTGGTTAGGACGCTCGACTCTAATCTGCAGATCGCGGGACCGAAACATGTCGCCGAATATTCTCGCACTTTCAGCCGTAGGGAATTAGAATATGACGTCAATTTCATTGATTGTTATTAAAGAATAGCCCAAGAGGTGGGTGGTGTTGACTAGCTGCCTGCCCTCTACTCTTATCTCTTCAAAATTTGGGAATGCTAGCGCAGCTAGCCCTTGAGTACCTTTGCGCGAAATTAAACGAAAAAAAAAGGAACAACAAATGTGCGTTCGTGTAGGGAGTGGAGACAAAAGCGTTTGATGTAGTGCAAATACAATTTTGTAGAGCGTATAGAAAAGATCCACTAGTTAAGAATTCTATGAAAAATACACTGCCATTCCTGAATATTATGGGGGAAACCCTTCACCTCGAAATTCCTACACTTGGCACTTCATATGTCTTTGTATTATAGATTTTTTATTTCCTTAGAACAAACTTTAAAAGAAACTAATATATTATTATATTGTCGTCATACATACATTTTGTTGCTTTTCACTAAATGTGTGCATTTTGTTAAGCGATAATAGTGAGATGAGGTCAGTTTCATAATTCATTATATATCTTCCAGTGAGACAACTTTCAAAAATTTCAGTTCTTATATTGAACAAACCAACAGATCGGTCTTTTTTCAGTGGTGATTTATAACGAGTGTGTGTGACGTCTCTTGTTAAAGACAAATAAATTAGATTAAAGTAGACGAAGAACTGGTATAGCATCAGGTAGGTGGCAGCACTGCCTATGTAGAGATGGCCCGAATTGTTCATCGAAATGTTATTTTAAATATTTCTCCAATAAGTCATCAGAACCTTACAGTACTACAAAGTGTTTCATTTTATAACAATATCCATGTAATGCCTGAGTCACAAGTTCAGGAAGTGTCTGTAAATATCATAGCAAAAAAGTTCTTGTTCTTCTTTCTTCTGCTTCTTTTTTATCACATGATAACTCAAGAACCAAAACAATGGTGTCAACCAATTTCACTGAGGTGACATAGTTTCAAACGGAGTATCCACTTTTATAACTAGTAATAATTTAAAAAATTATCATTCTAGTGTGAACGATGTTATCATTACCCTATGAAGTTGGCTTTTTTACAGAAATTTTGTGTTGTTTTAAAGAGTTCAAGTACAGGGTGAAACAGGATTTACCAGCCAATAATAAGTAAACAATAAATATTACAGTTGAAACCTCATTGTATTTAGAACTTAGTTATAAATACAAATGCATTAAAAAAAGCAAACAAGTAAAGAAAAAAGTTTCAATAAAAGAAGTAAATGTAGGGATAGCATTTGCATCACCCCTACGTAATAGCGCAAGCAAGAATTGACAAATAGCAATATATATAAGTATACAATCACAATTGAGTTTAATTTATCCTATTTTTGTCTGTTAACATTCTATTACACTGTGTGCCTGCGCTATTATTTAGGAATGATGCAAATGCCATCCCTACTATCTTGTTTGCATTGTTTTTGAAAGATTGATATTAGCCATCCCTAAATTTACTTCCTTTTTCTTTACTTTATCCTTTTGATTGGTCGTATGTTACTGACTTATATTGTTTGTCACCAAATGATGAGGAATGGAATTATTTTGAAAAATTTTGGAAACATGCCCCACTACTAATTATATCAATTTGCACAAAAATTATTGTTTATTATCTGTTTCTACTAAACCTTACAATATTTTACATTCGATGTTTAGTTTCACAGTATTTCTTAACATTTGCCGTAACGCTCCTAGAATTATGTTTTTCATGAACTTCGGGTTTTCTGATTCAACAGAAGGCGGCAAATGACTCCTTTCATTTTCTGCGCCAACCCAGCCGAAGCAGTGATGTCCGATGAAAGTATTGGATTAGAACCAGGAGAATGTGGAGAAGAAACAAGCATGCAAAAAATTTCTACAGATTAACTTAATGTATTAAGATTATTAAGTGTAACAAGAAAAAAGTGTATAAAAGTAATTACTTATAAAACTTTCATCTACAAAACTTATCTATTTGATATTATTTAGATAAACTGCATTAAAAACTCGATAAAATCTTAACACTTTCCATAGATGGACCTGGAAGAAAGTACAGTTTTTATCGGGAGGTTTTAATGTAACTTACGAATCTTTTTTTATCCTACGTGTTTTGTATGAACCGATAATTCTATTTGTGCTTATAAACTGTGTTATGCATGTATGTTCTTTAAGAGCATTAATGTATTGTTACAGAGCCAAATAAATGTTTCTTTCAAACTTTGAATTATTTGATTTTAACACCGTTTTAATGCATAACGTTTTTATATTTAATTAATGATATACTGTGTAAAAACACTTGTTTGTTTGTAATTAAGCACAAAGCTACACAATGGACTATCTAAGCTCTGCCCACCACGGGTATCGAAACCCAGACATACCGCTGTACTACTGGGGGACGTAAAAACACTTAATAGATGGTACAATGAAAATATAATCATGTGAAAAAATAAGCATTTTTTCGATGATTGGTTAATTAAAACTCTTCTGTTAACCAGACTGAACATTTACAGATTGAAGTAAGTATTGTGCTTCTATATAGGGGTGTTCGTGATCAATAGTAACGATAAAAAAACTAGTTTTATTTTAGACGTTACAGCTCCACTTCCACTATAGACGGTGTTCGGTGTGAATACACTGAAGTAGGCTTTTGTGCAATACACTTGTAGAGATTTCGGGGATGTTTATTTGGATGCTTTGTTGTGATTGAACTATCACAACTGATGGAACAGTTAGACTAGCTTCCCGGTTATCCAGTTCTTTTGAATGACGATTAAATTGAATTCAAGTAAATGTAAATAATAATACTGTAGATAACTGATGTTAAAATAAATAAATAATATCGTCTTGTTAATCCTTATCGTAATTATGATTTGTAATTTACTTGTATAAAATTACATTTCACCAACTTAATCTTGTTCACACCGTAACAGTTGTTGTTCTGGCAATTATATATTGTACATAGCCTTTCTACCATTACTGTGTATCTCAGGCGGCCCGACGAGCTTTGGTATTGAGTAAAAGGCCTCGTCGGCACTGGATATAGCAGATACAATGTGGTTGACGTACTGTTAAACATTTTTCTTTAATTACACGTATAAGTTCTTACTGAAATCCAGTCTCTACAAATATGGTATTTTCTTGCAGCATAATTGAATCAGCACGTTAACAAGATGGCTTGCTGAGTTCACACTGGCATTTTTCTCGACTCTTCGGATGTTTAACTTATCATTAAGGATTTAATCTACAACTATAATATAAATCTGTTGGGAAATCTTTTGTGACATGCTCTGTACCACTTTTAAAATAGTATATCACTGGTATGATAGGAATAAATTACCCGTATTTTTGCAAACAATTAATTAAGGAGAAATATTATTCCACGAATTTTATGGCACACTCCAATTTATTACAATACAGATACTGCTCGTACGACTTTGAATTGTTGGTTTCCACTCGGCTACATGCTTTGAAGAAGCTTGTGAACTCGAATCTTGTATCGCTTTTTGCAAATCTAAGTCTATGCGAATTATTTAGTTTATACGTCCAAAGAAGGTTCTTATTTTAGCTTCGTTGTATTTTTGGGTTACTTCCAGTGACAACCTATTTATCTTTCTTCAGAACCTTTGGTATGTGACTAATTGCTGATCGCGGAGTGGTCTCTCTTTTTTTTTTTTTGTTGTTGCTGGAATCACGACTTTCGTTGATTTTACCGATATTATTCAATACAAGATATCCCTTGTTTCAAAATGCTAAAGTTTCTCGCTTTGCAAAACTTTTATAATTATGGAAAAGGAGAATTTCATTACAAAAAGTTTTGCAATGTAACTTTTATAGAAGGGGTAAATTTTATATGCACTTACAATTACACATCAACTGAATTGCAAAAAAGAAGGTCAGAGCTTTTAATTTATGTTGTCACAAGCCACAGGGATGCCCAGGGGCAAGGCAATTGGATATGCAGATTGTTACCAACTATGTAGCATTTTATGCATTAGCCCGTTCGAAGGCGTTTCTGTTGTATTTTTTGTTGTGATATCCAGTTATAAACCCCAAAAGTTGAAATAATGAAACGGAATGCACTTTTTTCTTTCTTATACAAACTGCCAGATTAGTATTGTTTTATATAGAAATCATATTCATAAAACGCCTAAGTTGGCTAAACAAGAAACCCTTTTAGACCTAGTGAATTTTTTTTTTATCAATTTACATGTTTTATTACACTTAATAAACCTCACAAATACATTTATTGGCCCCGACTTTATATAAAAAATAATCAACACCTCACCACTACTACACACACACATTTCATCCTTAAAACTACATTCATTTAGCAAATACATTATTCACTGTTTAAAACTATTGTGCATAGTACTGATAAAATTGTTTGTAAGAAAAACTAGTGGTACAGCGGGATGTCTGAGGACTTACAACGCTAAAAACCGGGTTTCGATACCCGTGGTGGGCAGAGCACAGATAACCCATTGTGTAGTTTTGTGCTTAACTTCAAACAAACAAACAAAATATTTATTAATAAAAATACGTTTTACGCGTTGAACTGATCAGATAAAATAGTTAAAGTGGAGGCGACGTGCTACACACATTAATGAAAGAAAGAAAAACGCTTTCAGCTTAAATCAATAATCGCCTTTGTTTTACAGAACAGAAAGATGGCAGTTTAAACAAACTAAGAACGCTGTATGGAGTCAAAAATTAAATAGATATAAAGGAGAGGTTTAACGGGTTTTAAAACTTTTGCCAAATAACTAGCCTCAAAAATAGTTCAAAAACAAACTTACCTTTAAGTTGTCCGATTTGTAGTCACCAGTTTAAAGGTTTTTCTTCTTGTTTTTGTTTTTTCCTGGCAAAGTCTTCAATAATGTCTTCGAAATCAAACGAAGCAATATACTTGTTTTCAATAGCCAACAAAGCTAATGCATTTAGTTTTGCTTGTTTATTGTTGATCAGAGTTTTTTGTTTTTTTTCATGTTTCAATAAACAAAAAAATCTTTATCCAAACAGTTGGAAAGTGGTACAATCAAGTACATTATCAAGCAATGTCCACATTAGGAAATGTATCCTTCAGGCCCAGCTCTCTGAGCTTCTTGTACATCTCAATAGCAAATATCTCAGGATTTCGAAACAGCGAGCTGAAGCTGCAACACTCATCAGGAAGTCCTTCTTCTAAATCTTGTGGATAGTGTTCTTTTAACTTTTTAATTTTCCGCAGCCCTACGTATCTCACATATATCCAGTGGTGTAATGGTGTGGGGACGTATTCCCTTACCTTTTTTTTTTTGGCCGGAACTCAGTTACCTCACTATTTCTAACAAATCCAACCTTACAAATTTCAAACTTCGTGAAGTTTTGCCCACCTTTAGAGGAAAGAATCATTAACCCTTACATCCAGGTTGTAGGCAAGTTATCAAAGTATAATGGAAGAAAATATTGCAAAATGCAAAATAAAATATGTAGTTCTGTTAGTATTGATCAGAAAGTTCAAAACAACTTATTGTCAGAGTTTATACTTCTCGCCTTTTCACACTTATTTTCTGTAGTTATTATATTGTTAGCAACTGACTTAGAAACTAGAAGAAACAAAATGAATAGTACTGTCGGGACTTTTGAGTATGAACCACAAAATTCTAAAGAAAATCTCCTGAGAATTTTTAATTACAATCTTTTCACACCTATTTCATATGTTTATTTTACTGTTAGCAGCTGAAGTAGAAACCTTTCGAAAACAAAGCAATGAATCGCCACTCTAGGCATTAGACTTTTCCCGGCTTCGAAACCACAGTTAGGTAGAGTTTATCGGCTTCTTTGTAGTACAGGAATTGCAACAAGCATTGTATAAAGTACTATATAAAAGTGAGAGAAAATATTTACGATATAGCTGTATACAAAGTTTGATCCAATAAACTTGTTAGGTATTTGAATGTTAGTTACCTCCCGGGATTTAGTGATATAGGTGTAAAAGTGTGTAAGAGCTTATGAACATTCTGTTTCTTATTTAACCATACTTACACAGTAACCAATAAATGTTTAGTTTTCAGTAATATAAATACGGCCCGTTTTGGTTTAACTAGATAGCATAGCATGTTTCGACAATAAACTCTTGTCCCAGAAGTTTGACATCTGGAGTTGCTGACTCCCAGAATATTCTTTTCCTAGTTTTACTTCTTTGTGAGTTTACTCTGTACTCTTCAGTATCTGAAAGTTTTTGTTTTGTTTTTTGGATCCGTTTCGTAGGCTTGAAAGCCATTTTTGATCTGTACGATAAAATCAAGAAGTGAGTTGTACAGAACCGAAGCTGTGCACAGATTTATTTGCTCCTCTTGTAGAGCTTTACTAGTAACGTTTATATTTCCAAGAATGACATCCCACACAACAATCATGACTGCAGTGTCTTGAGAGTCTACTGCAACTCTTAATTGACAAGCTTGGAGCTGAGCTGCTTTAGTTTACATTATCAACCAATATCTCAGTCAGACTCAGAGCATTCTCAATGGCTTCGTAGCCAAATCGTAAAGCCTGAGTTGCATCAGCTCTCGCAGATCACCTCGTGGCGGCCATACTCTTCAGTGTGAGGCTCTTATTGTACATATGAAGATGTGATGTGGAAATTTCCCAATGATGGGTTGAAGCGGAAAAAAAGGTACATATTTTGAATAAAGCCAAATGGCTTCCAAAGAGCATTCTGCACCACGCGAACCAACCAAAATCAACGAATGCACAGAGCATAAAATAAAGACAGAAAGAGGGTTTTTGTTTTTAATCCTTGCCTAAAGTCCTGAATATTTACCAAACATATTGGTTGCATTGGCATAGCTTTAACTGCGACATTGCCCTATATCATTGTCAAATTCTTGTAGAAACGATGTAACGATTCCCGCCAGATGATCATTAATGTGGCCATGAATATATAAATTTCAGAAACCACTCTACTGGCTTGCTGTTGTGCTGCACGTGTCAGATTATCAAGGTAAGCTGGTGTGTGTGAGCTAAATCAGGTCTATAGACCATCCTAAATAATCGAATATTTGCTAGTCTTAATTTCAAAGACAATATAATTTTGAACTTTATCAGACTTCAATTGCATGAATTCGTCACAAATGGAAGAAGAAATTAACTGGTAATTCCTTTGCCAATACTTTCATATTTTGCAAAATGTTTCGACAGAAGCGGATCAAAGCAACTGATAAATTCTAGGTATCCCAAAAAGTTACCGTTATGTAATGATGATAAAAATTCATTCTCACCTCAAAAAGGCAGATCCCGTGCAGCTAGAAACTGATCTTTACCAACGATACATTTCAAAACATTTTTCCACTGTATTAGCTCTGCATTGAACTGACTAACTAAATGTGCATTAGTATCTGTACGTGAATCGAGACAAAGCAAAGTATTGATGCGATTTGGTCATTTGAACGTTTTGAGACTTGATGTGATCTCACAAGAAAGAGTAATTTAAAAAAAAAATAGTTTCTCTCGTTGAATTGTACAACATGTCAAAACCACGGAACCCCAACAATTATTTGTTTGTTTGATATTAAGCACAAAGCTATACAATAGACTGTTTGTGCTGTGCCCATCACAGTTATCCCGCAATGTAAACAAACACTTTTTTTTATTCTGGTAAAAATTAACTAACTGTAATTTGACAAGTTACTAAATCGGACCCCCACCCCAGTAGACAGTACAATGTACCTTATCAACTACAATATGCAAAACTGCCAACTGAATTTTTTTGACTTAAACGTTTTGAAGAGGTTCTTTGTAAGAAATTGTTTATGCACAAATATTGTGAATGTCAGAATAAATTAAGGGAGAATGAATCAAACGACATCCCACACCAATCCAGAGTGAGTATTACTTTTTTAAGGGTCAATGCATAAAGAACATTTAAACAATCGGAAAAAAATAACAATATGTATAAAAGAAGCACCAATGTTAGTTAGATGTTAAGCACAAAACTACACAATGGACTATCTGTGCTTTGACCACCGGTAAGAAAACTCGATTTTTAGCGTTATAAGCTGTCAGACTTACCGCTAAGTCAATAGGGGGGTACGAACCAATATTTTCAAGCCAAACAGACTGTAGTGAAATACACACAATCTCAACTACAAAACTACTCGAATTAACAAGAAGACAGTAAGAGTGGAATAATTTCCAAGATTAAACATAAAAGGCACAAGCAGCTGTACTAGTCGTTGGGTCACAAGATCCACCTGCATAAATACTGACAGAAATTTTAAAGGTGTCTATGTAAACCAAACAATAGGAAAGACAATTCACATTATGAAGATTTTCAGAAGGTGAGAAGTCAACAAAAACATCTGAAAAGAGTCAATGAGAAGGAAAGTAACAAATCACTCTAGGGTTCTACGAAAGTTAAAAATAAGGGTCCTTGAAAATAGAAGTGAGAATTTCTTTGCATGTCATAGAAAGTTTGTTTGTTTGTGATTGAGCACAAAGTTAAACAATTGGCTATCTGGTTGTACCTACCATGGGTATCGAAACCCTGTTTTTAGCGTTATAAGCTTCAGACGTATTGCTGTGTCACTGAAAAGCATCACAAAGGAAGGAAAAAACAGAATCCTACTTGTAGCGTTCCAACTAGTACGAGTTATTAATAATTGCCTTAATACCCTCACCAGTATATTGTAAAGCGTTAATGTAAAGCGTTCCTGCTAGTGAAAAGCCAAAGTGGTCTCAGAAGTCATAAACTGTATAGATGAAAAAGGAGTGCAATGCATTGCAACTAAATAAACTTGAGAAACTGAGTGTTGAACAATATCGAGTTTGTAGAGTACATAAGCAGAAACCTAATGTTATTCAAAACGCAGTCATAATGAAGTTTAGAGTAGATAAGAGCGCTATACATAAGCAGAAGAGTTTGTCGATCAGCATCTTAAGAAGTACTAGACACAGTTCGAAGTAGATAAGTCATTTTTGACAATCGGCAACCAAATTAGATATATGAGCCCTCAATTCCATTTTCTGTTCAGCAGCAAGCTCAAATACCGATATTCTAAATTCACAGAGATTTCAATTCCACTCATCTGAAGAGGAAGAAAAGAGCTGATTTTTCTGTTTGAGAAGACCATGTATTTACATTTTAAGAGTGCAAACAAAACTCTCAAGTAGCAGCTCAAGTTTGAAGAAGGTCAAAAATGATTTGTACAAGAATTTCGCAAGAAAATGACATTTCGACCTCATCTCTAAATAGAGATACCACCAATATAAAACCACACAAGTAATAACATTTCAGACGTTCTACCATACCACAAAGCATGATATTAAACAAAGTTGGACAGAACTGGAATCCTGAGGAACTTTAGAAAGTCATTTAAGTAGAGTACGTATTGTAAATTTTGAGATAGTTATGAAACCATCTCCAAATAATTGACTTTTACTGAACCAATGAAAATAAAGATTTTATTGAATATGTACCATTTGTTCCACGACTAACATCCTGTCAACAAAAAACGTTAATCCATGATTGTGTGATTAATTATTTTTCAAGTGATATTATGATCTCAGATTACAGAGAAATTACAATCTGACGATTGAAATGCTGGAAATTTGATAATGAAAAGCAAAGTTTTTGTAGGCTGTAAGCTTATAATCGCATTATTTTAAACCATTTAATCTTTTATAGGCTATATTTTTGTGAAACACCAAATTGTTGAAATAAATTAAGGTATAAACTTACTCCTTTACAAAGGTTGTATCGTAAAAACAACTATTATACAGTATTGCTACTTTCAACCTAGACGGTATCTGACACATCATATAGGCTAAACAGCCTGGTCAGAAACCACCTGAGGTTCAGACATAGACGTTCCTTAAGTTAGAACTGTATGCTACAAAAACGCGCTCCAAACTTTGAAACAGCGGATGCGCTGTAAGAGGAACGGTTAAATATTAGTATTCGGTCAGACAAGAGTAACTCAAGACGGTAGTGGGTACTTGTTGATTAGTTTCTTACTATCGCACGAGTTAAGTATTAGGGATGGCTCAGGCGGGTAGTTCTTGTGTAGCTTTGTGCGAAAATTCTGAAACAAACGAACGAAATGTTCTCATGATATTCTCAAGGTAAGAAAATCCGTTTCGTTCTTTTGATGATTATTTCATAGTAAGCTTTTATAAGCTACACAGATACTAATAAAACTGACAATATATCAAACTTAATTGAAGTACACTTGTGCTATTATTTAGAATTTACAGCCCATTTATAATAGCAGCTTTTCTGACTATCTTTTTCATCATACCGAAATAACTACCTTACAAAATATTCTAATAAACAACGGTTATTCTTTCATTTTATCCAAACCCTAACACACAAGTTCATTTCTAACAAAACTGAATCTCCAAAGAAACCATATACTGTAGAAAAAAAATTCCTTTTTTTAAGGAAAGATATATATTAAAGTCACAAATTAAAAAAATAATTAAAACTTTTTATCCATATGATAAACTACAAATGGTATTTCAATCATTCTTCAGGATTCAAAATATATTCAGATCTAAAAACCTGACCTGATATGCCCTGGAGGCTAGGGAGCTCGACTTGCAATCTGCAGGTCACGGGATCGAAACCTGACACCGAGCATATTTGCCCTTTCAATTCTAGGGACTTTGGATGTAACACGGGTGAGATTATCACAGAATATTAATCAATTTTCTAGGCCAAGAAGTCGACTATGGACCAAATTTTTGTGGTGAGGTATGTTTTAAAGAAAATGTTGGAGAATGATAAGAAAAACTGATAGCAATTCATTGATTTCAAGCAGATCTATAACTGTATACATAGACCAATTTTGTGGAAGATCACGAAAAAATTGGGCATTTTAGATAAACTTATGCAAATGGTTAAAGTGTGTAATGAGGGAAGTGAATGTTTGGTGCAGGTCGGAAAAATTCAAACATAGTCTTTCAAGTGGTCTAAAACATGGATGCCTCCTGTTACCATTGTTGTTCAATATTGCACTTAGGAAAGATAGGAGACCATTAGGAAGACCGAGAAAAAGTTGGCGAGATAATGTTACAGAGGACGCCTTTAATGTTGGTATAAAAGATAAAGAATGATCAGAGGTTGCATAGGACAAGTAGTGATGAAGAGACTTCGTGAGAGCGGCCAAGGGTCGACAGGACCGGTTGCTATAGGAGTGAGTGTAACTGTATAAATTTAGAAATATTCGTATCACATATCTTACCTTGTTTAATTAATATAGCTTGTTGATGATGGAATATGTGCATTCCGAAACATTTAAGTATTAAATGTAATATCTAATTAAATTTTTGATAATCTACTTTCTCACTGACTGAAAAAAATTGCCGCTGTATGTAATATTTTTTATGGAATTATAACCACTGATAATGAAATCATTGTGACCAAGGTATTCTTAAAGCCGGGTAGATGAAAGAGTGTTTTGGGAATGTTATATCTAAATTACTAGTTCTTTTTAAAGCATTTTTGGGTTACTGTTATGGAGTGCAACGAGTCACAATTTTCTGAATTCAAAATTGAATCCTCAACTTTCTCAAAATTATAAAAAATAAAGCTAAGGTGAAAATTATATATATATATATACATGTTTCACAAATCTGGTAATAACAAATGATTTTACAAATCACTCTTTCATGGCAATAATGTTTTTACGACGAAATTTAAGAAGTTTTATTTGCAATACGGTCCCTTGTTTATTTATTTATTGATTCTTTAATGACAATAACCTGTAGGAGTACGTCGACATTTTTGTTTTGTGTACAGATAATTTTTAATCTAGAATAAACTGTACTTGATGTAGTGTGCTTTAAAAAGTTTAATGTTATGGTTAAAGTCGTTAGGCTTAAAACGTAAATAATTCAAAGCTATTCTTTAAAATTTGGCGAACCCAAGCATTTCCATTTTAGAAAGATATTTGTTCTTTATACAATTACAAGATGATATTGATAGGTTTATTTAGTAAAACTAAATCATACCGACAGCAGTAATACTGTGTAAGTATTAAGTTACATCTTATAAAATGAAAATCAGTTTCGAAATGACACTTGCAGTAATTTTGAAAAATTCGGATGTTGCTTGTTTTATGTTTAATTTAACCAGTTCTGGCTATAACTAGAACAGTATAAGAAGTCAATTATTCGTAAATTGAGGTGAAACGTCAATGTGCTGTAGTCTGTACTGTTACTGTTAGTCTACTAGTACTAATGCTCACGATATTATATTTACAATGTGTAGTACTATCCCTAATGTAATAAATAATGTGGATAGAAAACTAAAACCTTGTTAGATTAGTTAGAAACGTATCTTAGGCCTACATAATTGTACTCGTTCTAGCCCAGTATTCAAGTTCCAGATTTGCTTTTTTAATTAGTTTCAGAAACTGTGTATACAAAAACATACTGAATAAAACGACGAAATTAAATGTTTAAGCAGGCCTTACTTATTCAAGATAAAGCCTGAATTTTATTTTTGGGAGAGCCCACATTTTAATAACCAATTTTGGTCTTCTCGTACTGCATCATAGACACTAGAATATTAATATTAGTAATGTTAATAGTATTACTAGTACTACTATTACTGGAATATTCTGTTTGATTATAAGATTCTAAGAAAATGTTTGGGTCTTGTAATTAAGGACTAAATAACGTATGAATGTTAATTTGCAATTTAAATTTGAATGTTCTTAGGAAAATAATTTTACTAATAATGAATGGAGAATTAGTGTATTATTTGATGGAGGGTTAATTTAAATTTGAATGTTCTTAGGAAAATAATTTTACTAATAATGAATGGAGAATTAGTGTATTATTTGATGGAGGGTTAATAAGAACGTACAATAGATTAATATAGCAAGAAGTGATTTGACTCATTAAGTCACCCCTCCATCAACAACAACAACAAAAAATCTTAAAAACCAAATTAATATAAAATATTGCATTCTACATTCATATTCAAATCCGGCAGATGTTTTGAATTATTTAACAACATTACTGTATTATCAGCTAATAAATTCCAAATTATAATATTAACATAGAAGCAATTTTTCTAAAAAACAAGTTGGAATTAAGCTTCTAAAGCAAACTTATATTTATTCAACTTACAAATTCACAATCCACCTTTTAATTTTTTGCTATTCATTTAGTGAAACATACCAGTCATTATACCAAAGACAAATTATCCAAAGGCCAAACAATTTTAAATACTTAAAATAATTTGGTTTGCCTGTAGAATTTTGCATCCGAGTGGTGTAGGAAGGAGTTGCAAAATGGGAGTACTTGGCTAGACATGCAGATTTTACAATGAGAGATTGAAAGTATAAGGAGCTGCTAAAAGCAGCTCCATCTAGGATGGTCTGGGAGCATGTCCTCCCATTAAATTAATAATATAATTTACAATTGCTTTAAAAGTCAAATATGTTAAAGTGCAGCACCTCTCTTCTGAAGCCTATGCATCCCATACTTTGTAAAAAGTTGAGTTTAAAGTATCTGAGGAAGCAGATAAATCTGAAAGATTTCACTATTGTTACCTTTTTTTCTGAGCATAAAGAATTTTCTTACCAATTACATATAACTATAATTAATGTGGCTTAAGATATTAAAAGGTGGAAAGGTAGCAGTAGATGATGGAATTCTCCCTGACCTGTTAAAAAAGTGTAATTGATATACTTGCTGATTCTCTGACTGATATTTTTATGATAGTAACATCTATTTTGAAGTGCCTAACCCGGTTAAAAATTACCAAAATTATTCTTGTCTATAAGGATAGAATGTTACTCTCTAATTATAAATTCATCTGCTCGTTACGTTAGCTTTTCAAAAATTATAGCAAAATCATTGAGTAAATTAACATAGGAAAGTAAATTGTAACCTTTTCGGTTTGGATTTCAACATAAAGATTCTACTGAATTGACAGTTACAAAATCAATTTACAACAGGATAGACAATAAATTTATTCTTACTTTATTTTTGAATTAAATTAACAACTTTTGGTATTATTCACCGTAAAATGTAATATGTTTAAAAACTATCATCTAAAAGAGATTTGCATGATAATATGTGATGTTACTTATATGAATGTAAATTTTGATAATGAAATTATTTTTTGTAATTTATGTGGGCCTTTATTCTTGTTCTTTTTTAATGATTTTTACTTCATTTTAATGTGCTTAACATTATTGTGTTTACCAATTTAACTAACGTGTTTTATTTCATATGAAGATATTAGTGTATGAGAAATCAAGGTAAATAACTGAATTATTAACAGATTTATATGGTCATAAAGATAAGACAAAAGAAAAATATGTGGTTGCTGAAAAGTGCCAAAAGTGGCCAGGAGATTAGAGCCTCAGTTACCATATTATTTAACTGATAAAGTGAAACATTAACCCAGAAAGAATATTTCTTTAACATAAAAGGAAAAACAAAACTGTGCTTTATTAGAATTTTGAACTGTACTCTACTAAATACATTACCTCACTCATTAATATTGAAAGTGTGTAATAATTGTGTATTACCTAATTATATGAAGATGCATTAATTCTTTAGAAAAGTGGAGTAATAATTATTTGTGATGCAGTATATTATGGACACATGTTGGAATTATATATTGATTATAAATATTTCAACTAATTTATTGCATCCAATGAAGTCATCAAAATATCTTTGAAAATGACCTACTACCACCACAATTTTTAACTGCTTTTCAACATCATTTATATCATGAAGAAGGTTGTTTAATTTTATATTTCCAGGTCCAAATAAATTAAATAGTTATCAGAATCAGTGAAAATTATTAAGTATAAGTTAAAAGAAATATAATGAAACAGTACTAAATATATACATTAGTTTATTATTATCTATAGGTAAAGAGCTTAAAGGCATAAGGAAATTTATATGTATCAATTATGAGGAAGAATACACTGCTTTCTGATTTGATTTCAGCTAATTGTTAAGCCTGTCGTAAGTAAACTGTTTTAAACATGGTATCACTTCGGTAGCTAACCTCTGCACTGTTTCTATCAAATTTATATTTTTCAGATTTATTATTGCTGGCTGTAATGATGAAGAAAAGAAGTATTGAAGGTAAAGTTCTCATTGAGAAAAAAATCTTAGAGAATGATTTTGTCAGAAGACTGTTTGGAAGATGTAAAAATACTAGTGAGATACACACAGTTTTAAAAATTGTACAGAAAGTGTAAAGCTTTCATGTTTACTCTCATTTAAATGTTGAATGAAGCAGAATATTTAGTAGGAATTTTAGTATATTTTATCAGTATAAGTAGAAACTGTTGTGTTTGAGAATTATAGAAATTTGTTATACGTGTACGCATGCAAAAACTACATACACAATTAGATAGTATACAAGACTGTAAGTAAAACTTTTTACATGAATATAACCTGTATTAATTTTAGCAATTACATAGACTTCCTGTGTGCTAAAACCATGAGAATTTAACCTTAAACCAAGCCAGCGTATCAAGAGTGATGATGAATTATCATGACCAAAGACTGCTATCTCCTCATCAGTTTGGTGTGGATGATAAACAAATTGATTTTTGAAGGTAAGACTTGGATTCTGTTATTTATATCTTGTAAATGACGTACATAAAGAAAACAATAATAAATAATACATATTTTGCCCCAAAATGAACTTTTTCTCACTGAGTTTCAGTTTGTTTGGCTTTTACTGAAATGGTTACTGTCAGATAAGGAAATTTGCTTTAGGCAGCAAAAGAATAAATTAATTTGAAAGAACAAAAGACTAATGTAATAAGTATGATATTGTGTTTCTTTTGTAAATTTTTTGGGGTAATTGTAAACCACTTTAATATACTGACCACCATTAGTTTAACTATTTTAATTTTAAGCTATTATTATCTGTAATATGACATTAGGTTAGATAATATAAGGAGGAATAGTATATACTTATTTTTTTTAGTGAATTGAAACCTTGAATTTCGTCTAAATTGTCAAATTTTGAGAGGGTGCTAAGCATATTTAAATAGAATTTAATAAAAAGAAATGAATGATTTGTACTTATAGCTAATCAAAATGATATTATATCACTCTATGACTATAAAATGACAAGAAAAAATGTAAGTTTTGAAGTTTTATATGGTTTCTTTTCAAAAAATGAAATAAAAAACATACTAATTAATGTAATGTATGAATGTAGTTTTTTGTGCAGTAAACTATAGGCTCTTCAGTTCTGCATGGGAGAATGAACACAAGAGATACAGTAGGCCTCCATAATATAGTGGTGAAATGTAGGTTTTCATGTAAAGGACTTAACATCAAATCCTAAAAAGCACTGTATAATTTGTCAGTCAGTTTACAGTGAGAATGATTTCCCATACTTTGTGTTTATTTTATTGCCGATATAGGCTTTTCTTTGTTTCAAACTGGCAAATAGGCACATATATGTAAATGTTATACGTTTTAGTGAATAGTATGCACATTTGGTATGCACAGTTTGAATTTCAACTGCAGTTTTTATGTAAAAAAATGCATAATTACATGGATCTTACGTGGAGTACTGTCTCTGTGCAACAGTCTGTACTTGTGCTTGACAATTTAATCCAGTAAATTATATATAAATTGCTCAGCTAATTTTTGTTGAGTATAGCTACTTGAATTCAACAAATTATACATCAGTAGTCCACAACAGCCATTCTTCTTTGCAGTTGGTCCACACTGTGAGCAGATATTCTGTATGTAATACTCAAGAATGAGTAGAACTCTTATGAGGAATGATGTACTCCACAAGCATAGGTCCAGCCCTTGTCTTTGTTGTTGTCGTCTGGAATGGCCCAGTGTGGAAAATAACTGAGGACTACTATCATAGATGTTTATATAACTTTTTTCTTTCCACTTGTCTCTTTCAAATGATGGGTGGATCTGCAAATTAAATTTTGTTGCACCCATTTGAAATATTGCTTGTAGATGTTTATAATTTGTCTAAATCCATGCACAAGATTTTAGATGGATCTTCATGGTATTTTAACATAAGATATGGACAACAAGGGACTGTTTTGCCCTTCAAGGCTGGCTTTGCACACCTACCCTTGTTAGAAGTAAAAACTTAAACCAACTCTCTGTTTCTCAGGAAGCCATTGATTTTTCTATCAAGCTCTTGTAAAGTGCTGGCCTTCACTACTGCTGAAAGCAAGCAACTTCTTTCAGAAGCCAATCATCCTATTAGTAAAATAAAACTATCTTAACCCTTTCTACATGGGATAAAGGCCATGCCATCATGTTTTTTGATTTGCATTCAAAATTTTATTGAACTACTATTTTATAAGTTTATGTCAATAAGTTTGGTATCAAACTGTAGATTATAATGCAAATTTTAATATTATACATTACTTAATTTCTTACTTTAAAAAAACACACCTAAATATAAATTTTTGTGTGCCATGTGGTATGTTGAATGTAGCACTGGTTCAAATTAGATGTTTGTGATGTCAAAATACTAAGTCTATAGTTTTGTACCAATTAGAAACTCAAATTACCGATATTAACAAACTAGGATATAAAATAAGAATCTCCTATCTTTTCTATTTGCTGAGATATCACACGTGTACTGAATCAAGCACAGTGGCCCCACTCACCTCTTTCCATTTTTGGATATGGTCCCTTATATACACTTACTTCAGTCTATGACATGTGAATAATTAATCAAAAGCTCAGAATGTCCCCTAGTGGCTTTCTCAGCCATTTTCGAGTATTACAACATCATCTCGATCTTTCGATACAAATCTTCAAGCTGGTAAGGTGAGTCTTTACTCTGCTTCAAATTTAATATTTTTTTTAGATGAAAATACAGCTTAATTACTAAGCTTGATAAATTATAATTGAATTCTATTGTATTAGTATAGTAATTTATGACTTTTAGTTATTCAAATGTATATATGAAACCTAAAAAAAATTTTCATATCGTCCATGTGTGAAATTTTTAAAGGCTTAGCAACCTACGTCAAGCAGAAACCAAGTACAAAGGTCATAACTAGAAGAGATAATTGTTTGCTTTATTTCTTTATCTACTGTTCTTTGTTTTAAGAAAAATAAGTTTAAGAGCTTATTTCTAAATAGCAATAATCTATATACATACATAATGTAATGTATAATAACTGAAATGTGACTGTATTTTACAAAATACTAGTCTACTAAAACACAGCCAAGACAGGTCACATTGTAAAGATTAAAGGTTAGTTTTATATCATTCAATAAGATAACATGAGAAAACATGTGATGCATCATTGTAACTTCTGTATTGTTAGCCAGGCATGGCTGAAAGGTCAATATAATATATATAAATGTATAATGTTATTAGATTTAAGCTATTTAGTCAAAACAATTATGTTTTTGTGTTATAATTTGTTATCATTCTAGAATGAAAGAGGCATAATTTATATTTATTTCCTAATTTTTTATGTTTGTTATGAGATTGGTCAGATCTATTGAACCCATACAGAGATTCATTACTGAAAATAACAGATAAAATATGAAGTTGTTTTCTTAAGAAACATTTGATAACTATCTGGACATTATAAAGATTTTGCATGTGAATTTTGATAATTTTCTGATGCATAAAAATATTTTCAATCTTAAAATGAAAATTACTTTGCATGTTAGATAGGCAACATGCAAAAAGGAAAAAAGGCATGAGAAAAACATTGCTTTACAAACCTTAAGACTTAATAAAAAAATTTTGGATTTTGCATGTGAACGCATTGTAAGGTTTTCTGATAATCTGCTAAATTTGTTTAACATGCGCTTACTATTTTAAAAGTTATAGCATGAAAACTATAACAAGCACAAAATGGTTACAAGGTCGATCCCAGGGAAAGAGCTTCTGCTGAAAGAGTTAATAACTAAGTTAACTAGTGATTATGATATTATAATTTTAGTTAATAATCATCTTTGTATCACAATTTTCAGATTTTGCCAAAGATGGAAATAGTGTATTCCGAAACATTTGAACCTTATAAATGTAATTTTTTGTGTTTTATTAACTGTCTGCATCTTTATTATTAGACTTCTGTTTTTCCATCATGAATCCATTGCTAGTAAACATGTTGATATGGAAGTACATGTTTTTCCCCATATAGATGGCAATGTATATTTGCTTCAAGGGTCGAGGTGATTCCAAAATTTGGAGTAGGAGCAATGGATGGTCTCTTCCTCTCCACCCACTGCAAGCATTGGCTTGGTTTTTCTTGTTACTCTTTGCAGTGGTTTACTTTGGTGTTTTGGTACCATCAATTCCTTGTGGAGTGTGGCAGATTATAGCTTATGTTGTATCCTTTGGTTGTTATTCATCCAATAAAGGTTTGTTTTGTATGCTTTTAAAAGACAAAAAATTTTTAATAACTGTTTATCACCATAGTTACTAAAATATCATTGAAATGAATGAATTATGAAAAAAGTAGTTAATGAACTATAAAAATATTTTAGTGAAGTTTAGTACGTAGAGAAACACAGCCTTCAAATCTATCACACATCCGGAAACTTAAATCCAGGAAATGATGCTAGAAGTTGGATAAGTATTATTACTTGGATTTTTAATTGACTTAATACTGTTTGAAAGTACATTACATTTTATTAGTTTATAAACATTCTTTATAAAAATGCACTAATTTGTTTTGCTGTCACTGAAGATTTCTGCAGTTCAAACTTAATATAGCATTTTTAAAACTAAATTAGTAATGTATAGATTGTGGTCTGTGCAAACCAGGCTTCATAACCCAAGTAACAAAGTGATAACTGTGACATTCAATGAACCTAGAAACTTAGCTGGTTAAAGCATATACTTGACATGCAGAGTCACAGGTTTGAATCCCACTTGGTCTCAGTTTTCACTTGTTCAGAAACATTGTACCTTGAGTAAACTGGCCTAGACAACCATTTATATATAGTTTAATTGTGATTATGAATGTTCTGAACTTCTATTCTATCTTATTCATGTTTCAGAAATTACAAACTTTTGAAATCAAGATTATAAAGAGATTAGACTAGTTTTCTTAACAGAGTGTCCAGATCCTGAGTATGATATACATTATTCATCTAGTAATTCATGTCATCAGTGTGAGCCTCAACCCTGCAGATCCCAATGTGCTTGCCAAAAATTGCAGTGGGCCATGTCCTACATTTGATCGCACCAAACATGTGCATGTAATAGAAAATCAGTTCTGTTACATATGTGAAGTGAAGGTGTAAGTTATATTTATTTTGTGTAGATTACTTTCTCTTTGAGCTTGAACATATTCTCATGTGTTCCTAACAGGTGTCGTAGAAAGACATTTGAATTTTTATGGCATTATATACAAGCTGGACACAATGTAGCCTTTTTTTACTTTTTAATGACACAATTAATAATTAACTTGCAAAAATAATTAATTTGTTATGATAAAATTCAATTTTTTTAAATTGAAGCTGTGTCTTGCAACTTCTAATAACGTTTCATGGGTTAGGAGTTTGGTGGCAACAGAACATTTCATGTCAGTAATATTATTGTACTTGATGTGCTTCAATTCTAGATGTTCTAAAGAAAAATGATTTGGCACTTTACAAATTATGCAGTTTATCTGGAATTATAAGAGGAATTTTATTAAGTTCAAAATGATTTAAGAACTGAATTTCAGTAGATGCATTTTGTAAAGTTTTGGTTGTATTATAGTATATTTTATTAAACATTGTGTATATGGAATGCTAATTTATGAAAGTATATTTAATGGATATATTTTAATTTTTGACCCAATAAAGTGGTATTTGCATAGTTACAAAAAAAGTACACATTTTAAACTAGAAGAGAATATGAACTCTTTTTCCATTACAAAAGAAAAATTTGAAAGACTTCAATAAACAAATCACATTTGTAATGATATTAAGTAACATTTTACTTTCTTTGTGAGTATTCTTTCTGTTATAAGAATGGTATTTTTTAATCACTGATGGATACATACCTGTGACATTTCTAGGGGGTTAAGATCCAAACACTGCAGTGCATGTAACAAGTGTGTGGCTGAGTTTGATCATCACTGCAAGTGGCTAAATAATTGTGTTGGAGGAAGAAACTACAAGTATGGTGTTTGAAGCACATGTTGCTTGCTTTTAGAATTTTTATTCTCTTATCATTATGTTTTTATTTTGGTAATACAATATGTAAAAACAATTCAATACTTTTAAAAAGTTAGTAACTAGATTTAGAATTTATATAATAGCTGTTGTGTAAAGTGTTGAAATTTGAATAAACTGCCTTGCACAATTAAGTTTTTTCATGCTGATTTCACCAGTTCAATTTTAGGTGTTTTTTTTTGTCAGGTTATTGCTTATCATAAGTGATTTGATATTCTGATGATTTTGATAGCAAAAATAATTGGTGGTAACTTTTTACTAAGGAAGTACTTGCACTTAAAAAATCAGCTTCTTATTATTATTGCTTATTCTTATTCTAAATTTGTCTTTGAAAAATAATGCCAAGCTTTGTTTCACCATGTTTCAAAGGCTGTATTTCAATTCCAAAAGTGTATAGATCCACAAGTTAATTCAAGTTTAGAATTAAATTAAGGTTGTAATATATACTTCGTAAAAGTAGATGCATTTATCAAAAGTTATTGTGAAAAAAAATACTGTTTAATCATACATTCATTCTGTAATAGAGATGTGTACAATAGTTTCACATAAAGGCTTCTAGGTACATAACTGTAGTTTAATACTATTTGTTCATATTTTGTATGAATAAAGATAATAAATGTAAGTTCAAGCATATTCTAGCATTTATCTGTGCATTGTTGTACCCGTGTTTATGATGCATGTTTTATTATACATTATATCTAGAGCTGTGCAGTTATTAAAATTTGGTAATTGATTAATTCATTACATTAAATTAATTGATTGTTCTCATTGTAAACTTGGCTAGTTGGAATAATTTAAAGTTATAATAATTGGAAACACTAACTATGATTAACCTTATGGATACAGGTAGGGTCCAAAAGTGTGCATGTCATGGCCTTTCTAGAGAGTTATATTCAAAATTCAGTTAAACACTTTATTATCAATGTATGTCAATAAGGTTGCCATGAAAGTGTAGGTTATAACCCAAATTTTTGTACTATCTTAAGTTTTAATGAGTTACTTTTAAAAGGAAATACTTAGATAAATTTTCAATCTCCTCTCTATGTCATGCGATGCCTCTCTGCTCTGAATTCTCCTTTTAAAAATTTCTTTGTTCTCTAATATGGGTTTCAGAACATCTACCAATTAGATACAGCCAACTACAGATATTGGAAAGTCAGAATTTAAAATAAGAAATTCCTACTCTTTTACTTTCTGAGATATCAATAACTTTGTTGCAGCCATCACAGAAGTTCTTACCAACTCTTCATTGTTTTGAAATCACTCATTTACTCATGCCTGTTTGTCAATGGTACATGTTTATAATGAATATAAAGGCCATTTTGTGAACTGCGTGATTATGATGACTGTGTATTTATCTTGGTAAAAACCATCATTTAGCAAACAGATTGTGATGTGTATAGGCTGAAGTCAAGTCTGTGTTCCAGTAAAGAATGAAATTTTTTAAACCTATTTTTAGGTTAGTTAAAAAGCCAGATAAATTATAGTAGTTTTATGGCATTTTATTTTACTCTATGAATTATTATTTGTTTTAAAATACACATTTGAAGGCTATATGAACTATTTTTTAGACAACCAATATGATTAGAAAAAATAAGGCTTGTGAAAGCAGGCACTCGAGTGCAAACTGGCCTAAAATCAAAGTAGGTTATAAATTTCTTGTTTTTTGTGTATGTTATGTATATGTTTTACTTATTGTTACATATTTGTTAATAAAAGTAACTAAACTGTAGCAATTAAAATGTTAAATAAAAAAAAACTTAAATAAAAAATATTTTTTTTGCCACCACCCCTCAAGCAAGTACAAGCAGTCAGACATGCATGATGTAATTTGATCCATTTGTTTACTCCACTGTACCACCTGATGATTTATGCTGTCATGGTAGTTAGACACAGTTCAAAGAGCAATAAAACAATAAAACTGAGTGAAAGCAGTTGTGAAAACTTAAGAGGCCTAAAGCTCTTAAGATAAGTAATTTTAATTGTCTGTTACAATTATAATGAAAGAAAAATGTATCTTTTAAATTTTATTTCATGCATTTCAATTTTTGCTACAGTTCGTGCTAGGGTTGAGAAAATAAGAGATAAGGTATAAAGTTCTACTTCAAAAAACTTGTGTTTATTTAGGAAGCTCTATAGATTATATAAAAGAAGTATGAAAAGTGTAAGGTCAAAAGAAGTATTTTTATTCTTAGCATGATAATCACCTTTCATTCTGACTGACTCAGTTAAAGCTTTGTAAATTCTCAGACAAATCTTTACTAAAAGTACAAAAAAAAGATTTTATATTTTACAAGATACTTCTAATATTCACTGTAAGCTTGCCAAATTTTGTGAAGATACACTTAATACATTCAGTTATAGTATATATAGTTTCATGGTTACATGGTCAGTCAAATGACTAAGCCTGTTACCACATTAAATGAGTTAATTGCCCATCTCTAATTATATCACAGTGGTAAATTAATAGAATTATTAGGTGTAAAAGCCATTCAACAATCTGTGTAATAGATTAACTGCACCATTTGTTGACATAATTTTATTAAGATGATGTACAAGAAGACTAGTTGACATATTTCAATAAAAATTACACAAACACTTTTTACTTACTACAAGGACATAACCTATTTAAGTATATTTACATAATTATAGCCACATCTAGACCAATGAGAAGAACGGTAAAAGTATAGACCCAACTTTCTTATGGAGTAACACAGTATTTTCACCCGGGAAAAAATTCAAATGTTTAATATACTGAAGTAGTATATTCAGAAATGTTTTTTTTTTTCAGATTTATTGAATTGTATGTTGGGGTTTGTGATAACATTAAATATCTTCTTGTGTTTTTCTCTAGGTTCTTCTTGCTGTGTGTTGGTTCAGCATTAGTAGGATGTTTCACAATATTTCTTGTGTGCTTAGTGTTAACAGTGGCATATTTTGATCCATATAGTTGGATCTACACCTTTGAAAAATGTAAGTGGGTTTTGTTTATTCAAAACCTTTTTCCCATTATTCTTCTTGTTTTTATAAAAAAAAACAAAAACAACAACAAGTTGGTACTTCTTTTGTTTAATTACACTTAACATTTTTCAGTCTAAGTCTCAATAGTTGGTCATTATTTGATCAGTGAATTAGCCAAGATTTTTCTTGAAATCAAGATTTGAACCATCAATTAACCAAGAATTAATGAAGCTTCAATAACAAATTCATATGTTGGACTCATTAAGTTTCATTTAGTCCATAGGCTGAGGGGGGGGGGGGTCTTGTGACACATTACTTTTTATATTTCATAAAGGTATTATGGGAGGATCTTAAAAATCCAGGATAGACATTTTGGAAAATGGCAATAAGGGAGAAATTCAAGATGGCTTCTGTGAGGGGAAAATATCCATAACTTGTGTTCTAGAGCACATAACACAATGATTTTGGTGTCCAGATATAGGTTTTAGGAGTCAAGGAAACCACTGACAACATTAGCAACAGAATCGGCCCTGACCCATTTGAGTTATTCAAGATGGCAGCCTCAAGGGGTAAATAGCCATATCTCATTTCCTAGAGCAGATAGCAAAATGATTTGATGTTGAGATATAGGTTTTGGGGGTCAAAGAGTATATTTCTGATGTATATACTACAATCAATCCTGAGCTTCCAAAGATATTTAGAATGGCTGTCATAATGAGAAAGTACTTCATGTATAGCAGGGTAGGTGCAACTATGAATTGCTTCAAATATTTGAAGATAGATTGAGAACACACTACACATCAAAAGCATTTATTAGCATTCAACCACAAAAGTGGATAAAAAGATTTATCTTTTACTAAACTTCATCATGCTTTATAGTGTTAGGTGACTTGAAGTTGACCTGTTTACTGCAGAAACATTACATGTACATATAACAAATTATACACACTTAGTGAACTATATAAATATGCATGTGCTGGAAAAATATGTCATATCCAATCATTTTATATCAGTCTCAGACTAGCAATCCAGTGCAAAGCATACAGCAACATCGAACATCAATGAAGCAGTCATGCTGATGGTTGCATTGTCAAAGGCACCCTTAAAACAACATTAGGATGGTTTCAAACTGTTCCATTTAATTGAAATCCTTTACACTTGTTGTAATTGCAGCATGGTATACCCTGATCATGACATAAGCAGCAGTGGGTGACACACTTTGTGCATGTGTTGCTCTGAGGTAGATCATCTGGTACTAGCTGCTTGCACGTATTTGGTACATGTAATCCATATTTAATTTACAACTTGATAGCAAACTTATTGACATATATTCATAAAATAGTAGTTCAATAAAATTTTGAATGTTAATCTACAAATTTTAATGACATTCCCTTTGACCCCTGACCATAAAAAAACCTGTAGCAATAGGGTTAACTCATGTATTTTCATGAAATAAAGATGCTCAGCTGCTACTTGTATTAAAACACCATCATAATAATGTAACAGCCTGGTCAATGGTTACATTATTTACATGAAATATAAATTTACTAATCTTGTTTTACCTTACTTATAATGGATTTTTATATAGCAGCTCGACAAATCATTCCATAGCTGCCACCAACAAGCTTTGTTATAAGAGAGCATATTCTACATACATTCTATGTGGCATACTTGCAGTTGAATTGTTTGACAATCAAGGAGGCATTGGAGATTAAAGAAGTAATCTTGGGAAATTCCCACCTTCAAGAGGCTGTTAAAACCACGTGGGGGAAATTCTGAGCTTCCAATTGGTTATAAACACATGATAAAGCAAAGCAGGTGTATGTAAGCAAGTACTTCCAAAAGCAAAAGAATTGGGCAGGGCCACTGTGTTTGATTCACTAAATATAGTGATATCTCAGCAAATAGAAAAGATAGGAGGTTCTTATTTCATATTCTAGCTTGTCAATATTGGTAATTTGAGATTGTAATTAGTAAGAAACTACAGACTTTATACTTGGACATCCCAAACACCTAATCTGAACCAAAGCTGCTTTCAACATACCAAGTAACACACACATAAATCTATCTTTAGGATTTTTTTAGTATTTACTTTTAAATTAAGAAATTAAATAATGTATAATACTAAAATTTGAATTATCTGAGGGAAGGGGTAAGTGAAAATGTTGTTTGAAAAACAATATTTTTTAGACCCAAATATAGTTTAGTTAGTAAGCCTGATAAATTACAGTGAAATTCTGTGCAATTGATGGAGTAAATTATAATTTTTTGTTACTTCAAAATGTATGTATAAAACCTAAAGTTATTTTGTTTTACATTCTCCATGTGCAAAATTTGGCAAGGCTTAGCATGCATGGTACAGCAACCAAGTACAAACTTCTTAACAGTTGCAAGTAGTAGAGATTATTGTTTTCTATATTTTTTATTTACTGTTGTATGTTGTAAGAGAAATAACTGTAATTTAACAACTTATTTGTAAATAGTAATAATAATATATATATACATGTATTGTATTATAACTGAAATGTGACTGTATTTTACAAAATGCTGGTCCACTAAAACAAAGCTAAGACTGGTCACTTTGTAAAGGCCACTTTTATACTTTTGAATATGGTAACATGAGTGCACGTGTGCCAAGACATTGCAATTTTCGTAATGTTAGTTAGGTATGGCTGAAAGGTCAATAAAATAAAAATAATAAATATATATATATATGTAGATGCATAATGTTATGAGATTTAAACAATTTAGACTAAACATTTGTGGTTTCATGTTATAATTTGTAGTCATTCTAGTATGAAAAAAGCATAATTTATATCTATTTCCTAATTTTTATGGTGGTTATGAGGTCAGTCAAATTGATCAAATGCATACAAAGATACAGTAGTGAAAATAACAGATAAAATATAAAGATTTTTCTAAAAAAAGATGTCTGGTAATTATTTGGAGGTTATAGAGGTTTTGCACGTGAAATGTGACAATTTGTTGATGCATAAAAGTATTTTTAATCTTAAAAGCACAATTACTTTACATGTTGGATAGTCAACATTTGAAACGAAAAAATGTACAAGCAAATCATTACTTAAAAAAATATTAAAAGTTAATATAAAATCTTACATTTTGTGTATGAATATTTGTATCCACAGGTGAATCTTATTGATGTTTTGGTTGTATGTATAATACCTGTTGGTTTATTTTTAATATTTATATCCACAGGTGAATCTTATTAATGTTTTGGTTATATCTATAATACTTGTTGGTTTATTCTTAATAACCAGTGCTTTCTTATTTGTATCCATAGGAATCTTTTTAATATTTTGTATATATATATATATATATGTATACAAATAAGGAAAATTTTTTAAATTTTGATTTTAGTTTGATTTGAGTGCAGTCCAAATGAAATAATTGGGGTTTGTGAAATTTCAGAATTTTTTGTGTGTATAATATGGAACTTGTAGTCCCCCGAGTAGGAAGTTCATAACAATTTTGAACAAAATAGCACTAAATTAACCTTATAATTTGAATACAAATATAGTTTTGTCAATTTTTGGCCAGTTGCTGTTTCTCAACCTTGGTTGTCAGGATGTGATGTAATTGCCTGTATCTCTGTTTCATCAGACTTGGTTTGATCTCTTCATATCATGCTGGTATTCTTTTGGTGGTGTATTATGTGCTTCAAGACAAATTGCAATGACAGTTGTGTCACTTCTTTCTGTTGTCAAACTGTGAATACTGCCATATGTTAAATAAACTTTTTCTTTCTCTTTTTCCTTCTGTTATGTCTTTAAGTGACAACATCCAGTAGTACTTCTGATGTACCCGATTCTTCTGTGGACTTTGATGCATTTCCTTTAAACTCTACATATTTACCTTCTGCTAACAGTACTTCAGGTAAATGTAAATTATGCTGTCTTTTGTACGTATTACAAGACTATCTTGATACAGTGTACTGCATGAGAACAAGTACAATGTCAATTTGTAGTTGTAACAGCATAAAATTGTTTTTCAAAATTTATAATATAGGCCATGTAAAAAATATACATGGAATGTTCTCTATGTTAAATATTTTCCCTTAGTTGTGAGTTTTGGTTCTCTTAACAGTTTTCATTGAGAAACAAATTATTACTATTCAGTAAATTGTTGCCTGATGAAGACTGGTAATTAATGGAAATGTATTCAATGTAGAGAACAGCTTGTGTATATATTTCTTATCAAGGTAACTTGGTTTGTGTAAATAATTTTTTTCCTATAAACAAAATGTAGTTTAGTGGTAAGTAATAAGAGCAATGTAAAGAAATAAAATTATATCATGAATTGATGCAGCGAATGAAAGTTTGAGTTTTGTAATGAAATTTTAAGTGAAAATAGGTATAAATGTTCAAAGAAAAATTCAAAACGCTTTATTAATTGTTTTCTTTCTGGATTTTACTTTTGTTTTTTTTTCTTTATTTGTAAGTTTTGTTGCAGAGCTTGCCATTTTTCACTATGGTTTTTTTCACTTTGCACTGGATAAATTCAAATAAAAAATATGTTGTTTAAGTTCATGTGATATGTCAAAATGTTTTTAAAACTTGGTAATTTCTGTGTAACTTTTGCCTCCTTTGAGACAACTAAAGCTAAGTTTTTAATAACCAGTACCAAACATCACTTAAAAATATCTCAATTAGATTCAGTGTTGGCAGGAGTATTTAAATATTCAGTAAAATAAACCTGTGCAGGATTATCTTGATGGAAATTATGGTAAATTATGAAATAATAGCTTCTAAAAGGAAGAGAAAAGATTATTTTTTAATCACCATTATTAACTTAAAATAACTAGAATGTTAACTATCTATCCATACATTTATGTATATATGCAAACAGTCTGATGTAACTACAACATCTATATCATTGAATGAGGTATCACAAAAAAGACAGTTATCCCACTATTTTTCATCAAAGTTAGATCCCAAAATTTTGTTTAACTCAGTTGTAGTACCAGTTTCAAACCACTTTGTTATAGGTATAGTTCTGTTGTTACAATACAGTTTTGAACCACCATGTTAGTCTTCTCATTATAGATTTACAGTTCTCCTTTACACTATTACACTTGTCAACTGTTAATCCACTGATTATAAATTAAACAATGACATTCCAGCTATAAATCAAATGTTCTTTCCTATGATACACTAGTTCAAAGAATAACCTACATATACATTGTATCAAAGAACAAAAAGATATATCACAATGGAGACATCAGTATGAGTTATAAATCAATTAAACATGCTAGAAAATTATAGCAGTCCTACAAATGAAAGGAAAGAGAGGTATGTTTATAACATTTTCACTACGTTGTAGATAGTTGTTCTTGCCTTGTCATCCAAATTTTTTGATATATGTCTTTCTAATTCCAAAAGACAAATGATTTTCTTAATAAACAATATCAAGATTATTAGACAATAATATGGAACTTGAAACTAATAATGCAACAGGAGAACTAAGTTTGAAACTTATACTGCAATTGGAGGATTAGGCCTACAACATGAAGATTTGAAACTATACTGTAACAAAAATACTAGGCCTACAATATGGTGGTTTGAAACTGTATTATAACAAGAAAAATAACATGGTGGTATGAAACTGTATTGTAACAATAGGACTATACCTACAACATGATGGTTTGATACCAGTACTGCAATGGAAGAACTATGCCCGTAACATTGTGGTTTGAAACTGTAGGAGGTCATAAATGTAAAAAAACAAACCTTGTGAGAGTTTTTGTCATGAAAAGCAAAACATTATTATTATGCACTTTTCTCAATCATATACCAGAAGAAAAGTCAGTGTTTAAAGTGAGAAAGACATATAAAAACTGAAACCTAATGAGAGTTTCTGTCATGGAGAGCAAATCACTCTTCCTAATCCACCTTCTTTCTAAATAATCAATCAAGTAAACAGTAGCATACTTTGAATATCATAAATGTATAACATCCAATAATGTTCCAAGACAAAGATATTTAACACATTTAACTTCATGTTAATGTGCTTTCTGCAACAGGAAACACAATGTTGACTTCTGCAGGGCCAAATTTCAGAGCAAATAAACACTACTATTTTTTTGATTAGTGATTTAGAAAGTGTGTATGTGATAATAGTGATTTGCTTTTCATGACAGCAACTCCCATTGCTTTAGTTATGTGGTACTTACTAGTGTTTATTAGCTAATGTTACAGCATTTCTGAGTACGAAATGTAAATATGTTACAAAAAACAACAATGGTGTTTCACACACATCTTTCAGGATACATGTTTTATGTGTTTGTTCCTGTGGAAGAAAACATCTGGTTGGCTGTGATCCTCTGGAGTGGAGGACTGTCTTTACTTGCTGTTGGTCTCCTTGGACACCTGTTGGCATTTCATGTTTACTTAGGTAGGATCAACTAGCTTGAAATATAATATTGCTAAATTTTGATACAAGTGAATTTTTAATAAGAACACATTATTACTATTGTTGGTATAGATATAAAAGCAAGCAATTTACCCTATATTTTTTAATACTTTTTCTTTTGTTGTGATTGAATTGTTAGATATAAAGTATCATATGTTGAAATTTGAAGTTTAATTGATTTTAACTGTAATTTTATACTGCACATCTCTTCTTTTAATGATATGAAATCTATAATTGGTTTGACATTAACATTCATTTTACAGTACCTATATTTTTTGTTGACCGGACAAGATCTATGTTAAGCTTATTCAAAATTCTAACTAATTTTTCTCCTGTATTTATAGTGTGTCAGGGTCTTTCCACATATGATTATATTGTTCAGAGAAGAGAAGCAGTTGGTGCAAGTGAGACAGCTATTGTTTCACAGTCAGAAGCTATCAATTCTACCATGAAAAGGAAAATTTGTTCCCAGTTCTGCATTTTCATTTCACCAAAGAAGGTTGTTATATATCTTAAAATAATTATTATTTAAGACATGTAGATATTTTATAAGGATTGAAAAGAGACATTAGTTCTATTTCTCTTAAAAGTTTCTCAATAATATTGTTGCTGTGTGTTTTTCCTTACCAAGAAATGTGTGATGTTGATTTGTAATAAAAGTAAGTTTTGTGGAAATCATTTTGAAGAGTGTGCATGGGTGGGGGTCAGCTCATGTCATGACTGTTTTTTTACAGTTACATAAAAAAAATAAACTACTGTATTATCAATGTATGTAAATAAACTTCATGTCAAAGCATAGTTAATGAATACGATTTTTATATTATATATCATTTAATTTCAAAAATAAAAATAATCTCAATCTTCACTTGTATGTATCATGACAATTTGTCATTCAAATTGCCCATTTATTAGTTTTTCATCCTTTCTACACATTTATAGATATTACAAAGGTAGAGTCTAATTTTATAGCATCCAGCTTTCTTTGTTTACAAAGATGTATGCCAGAAAATCAAACCCACTTGCCAAGCCCTTCTGTTGCATCCTAACTTTCACAGAATTTAAACAATTCTTTCATGTTTGCTCTTAGATCATTTATAGCCAATAGACAGAAAATATTTTATTTTAATGATTTCCATATAAGGCTAACTTGTTCTGATCACAATGTTTGAATTGTTTAGCTAATGGTTCCATTGTTGCTGTTGTAGAGTTCACATTGACCATTTAAATGAATTATCTTAAAGCACTTTTATACTTTAAAAAGTTAGATAAATTATAACAGTTAAAGGACATTGTATTCTTTGTGCTTGTTATTATTTTATGTTTTAAGTTGTATATTTGGAATAAATAAAATTATTTTACGTAATACTAAAATCAGGACAAAACATTAGGGCTGAGTTTCATGAGGGATGACAACAGTAAAATAAGAGGCCAGATAAGTACTAAATTTCTTGTTTTTTATGTATATTCTTTATTCATTATAAAAAGATTTCTCAGGTTTGCATGCGAGCTACTCATAAGTTACATAATTCTTATACATACTTGAGCTAGGCATTTTTCTGTTGAGTCAGCTTTCTGATACGGTACTTCCCTTTTCTCACATGATTAGCTTTTCCCATTTTGTGTTGCCTTCTGTATGCAAACTTATTTTATAATGCATGCCACAAGCCTTCTGCACCCTACCCCGTCTTTCATGCAAATCATCATGCGTCATCTCTCCACTAATAGGAGAGCAGTGCTTGAGTTCAGATGACTTTATTTTTGCTTATTGCTTCTTGAAGTGGTTTAACTTAATTTAATTAGTTTATTTCAGAATTATTTTTTCACTTTATTTGCACAAGTGTTTGATTTAACTGTGTTTAGCCACAATTTTTTTGCTTGTTTGTTTGGTATCAAGCATGAATTCCAAAGTTAATGTTGCCACTTCGGGATCATCTCATTTGTCTGATGCCATACTTCAGGCCACAAGGATTTATTGGTATTTATTCGTAGCTAGATTGAGCATTATATGTGACAGCCTTTGTCTCCTGCTGTTGCCCCTCTTCCTCCTGAGTCTTTTGAGCCTGGCCAGGCTGATGATGATTTTGATCGTTTGTTCCTGGAGTTCACCGTGCCTTCCCAAACCCTACCTGAGGATTCTGTTTGGCCCTTGTTGGCTTTTATTTCTCAGGTATGTGATGTTTGTTTATTGCTCCTATTTCTTATGATTCACATCCTTCCCTATTACATGATTCTGCCTCCAACCTCACTTAGTTTTTTCCCCTGTCCCCTGATATTTGGGTTCACACTGAGCATTTCGCCTCTCAATTAGGTGACGGTGTTAGTATGCCTCATCCCCCAAAGGTTTCTGATCAGACCTCCCTCACTTATCATAGGGTGGACTGTCTACACCTGGACCAACAATTGTTGGATTCAGTTTTGCCCGGTTTGGGGAGCGAGACCTGAATCTCCAGTTATCTTACCCATACCCAGTATTTCCGCCTTCATCTTACCCTGATGACTTTTTTGTGGTACCTCTCCTTGATCCATCTCCTGTCTGAGGCTCTTCACAGGAATCCTGAGGGGTTTTCTAGGGACTTCATCTCTCTCGTCTCTTCCATGTTGGCCTGTCTGTCATTATTGGCTCTGGCCCTGGAAATGTAGTTTATTTGCTTTTGGAACCTTTTGGGTCGTGATGCCATATTGTCATGGACCCGGTTCCTTATCTATGGGACCTCCATATGGCCCCATTTTTGAGGCATTTCTTGTCTGGAGTCGAGGGTGGCTTTGGTCCAACAACAATCCACCCTTTCTGATCCGGTGGCCCGTTTGCCCCAGTCAGAGCCAGGTGTGGCACCAATTCTTGTCTTCTCAGCCCTTTCCTGTTCCTCCTTCCCGTGGTGCCACTGTTCATCTTTTTCAGGATGATGCATGATACGGCAACAACAGTTCCAATGATTACCTGGTGGGTTCAGGTTCAGTGGGAGCTCTTCTGGTGACCTTTGTTCATTGGTGTAGACCTTTTATTTTCGATATTTGGGTTCACCAAGTTTTATCAGAGAGATTCTTCATACCCTTTCTTACCCTTCCTTCCTTGTCCTACTTGCCTGTTTCTTTTCCTCCTCCTCGGAATCCCTTGTCATGCCAGCATATATACAAGGAGGTGCAAGACCTCCTCACACAATAGGCAGGGGTTTTACTCCCACTTGTTTCTAGTTCCTAAAAAGACTTGGGATTGGAGGCTGGCCATACACCTGTCCCATTTCAATCGATATGTTCACACCCCACTCCTTACCAAGGAATCCTATCTTACTCTTCAGTGGGCTTTTTCTCTAGATCTTTGGATGACTAAGATGGACGTCTCCAATGCTTATTTGTATGTTACCATATTGGAGTGTTCTTATCGTCAGTTTTGTCCATCGTAGGGTGGTGTACCAATTTTGTCCCTACCCTTTAGGCTGACTTTGATGCTGTATGTTTTCTGTCTGGTGGTGCAAATCTTCGCTTTATATCTTCGTGCAATGGGGTTGAATTTTCACTTTTACATGGATAACTGGTTTCTCCCTCATTCTAAAAGGGTGTTGGCCTGTCATACTTGGTAACTCCTTCTTGAAGCTGCTCAGGTGGGTTGGTAGATCAAATTGGAGAAGTCCTTTCTTCATCCTGCCCGGTACCTCATTCATCTGGTTGTTTTCTTCAACTCCCATCTCAGTTGGGCCCAACCTTCTCTGTGGCTGTGTTCTATGGAACTGGACATTTAGAATGCCCTGTCTGCTTCTTCACTTTCTGCTTCCGAGGTTTTATCACTTTTGGGGATGTGGTCTTCTATGACTCTTCACATACCCCTCGGCCGGGCTCATAGGCGATCCCTTCAATAGGCCCTTCACCAACAATGGAATCTTGCTCAGGATTACTTGGATACTCCAATAATCCTTCCTTCTTACATTGTGGATGATCTCCGATGATTGTTGGACAAGGCTCATACATTGGCAGGTGTCCCGCTTCCTCCTATGCAGCCAGATTCACATCTTCAGGGATGGGGTGTGTGAGTTGATCACCATGAGGCTTTGGGTCGTTGGTCTATCGGGGCACATTCTCTTTATATCACTTTTCTCCTATCTCCAGAAATTGTCTGGTTCTGATCCATTCCAATGATTCAACAGTGGTGGCTCATATCAATCACTAAGGTGGAACCCGGTCAAGATGTCTGTGTTTTCTAACATTGAATCTTGTCTTTTGGGCCCATGATCATCACATTTGTTTGATGGTGTGTCATGTACTGGGTGCTTTCAACCTTTTGGGCAGATTGTCTTTCTCGACCCGACCGGGTTTACCGGACGGAGTGTTCCCTTCATCCCCTTCTCTTTCGATGGATTAGCTATTGGTGGGGTATTCCTCATATCGATGCCTTTGCCACCACCCTCAATCACCAATTACCTTTGTTTTGGTCCCTGGTTCTCCATCCTCAGGCTTTGGCTATAGATGCCTTCAGCCAGGATTGGTTGGATAAGTTCCTGTATGTTTACTCTCCTATCTGATTATTTCATTGGATAGTCTCCCTAATCCATTCCACTCCATGCAAAATCTTTCTGATTGCTCCTTACCAGCCCACTTAACTGTGGTTTCCTCAATTACTCCAGCTACAGTTGTTCCCTCTCATCCCTCTTCCATTTATTCCCCAAACTTCTTCTTCAACAACAGTTGCCAGTTCTGCATCCCGCATTTCACGTTATCCATCTTCATGCCTGGCTTTTGTCTGGTCCCAGGGGAGGAGATCCAGTTTATGTTGGATGGCATCTCATTTAGCTCATTCTGTTCATCCTTCATCCATGGCTGTGTATCAGTGGAAATGGAATGTTTTTCTCACGTGGGCTCTGGCTATCTCAGCTTCTCGTCCAACGATTGCTGGTTTCTCTGAGTTTCTTATGTGGCTTTTTGAGAAGGGGTCTTCGGTTTCCTCGATATTGGGTTATCAGGCAGCCCAATCCCATACTTTCCATTTTTCCAGTTACAACAGGGTTTTTCTTTCCTCTGTCCTCTCCATTTTCATCCATTCCTTCTAGATCCATTGGTTGCCTAGTTATCTTGTTCTTCTCGATTGGGACATTAACGTGATACTCCATTCCCTTACTTTACCTTCGTTTGAGCCCATAGCCTTGTGCTCTTAAGGCATATTTCCTTCTCCTCTTGGCCTGCGGGCATTGATGGTTGGATCTGTTCACTATCAATATCACTCTCACACTGTACCACCAAATCTATCTTCTCCTTCCTCTGGATCATTCCTTCCTTCCCAAGACCTCAACGGCTCGTAAAGGTAACTCTTCCTTTTTGCTCATTTCCTTTCCCCTCTATTTCTCATCTCTAATCTCGTCCTGATCCAGATAGACTTCAAAGCCTGATGCATGCCCTTCATTGTTATATTGCCCACATGGCTTCCTTCAGGGGTTCCCATCTTTTTATCCTGTGGCAACCCTCTTCCTTTCGAGCTCCTTCTCTCTTTACCCTTACCAATTGGGTTCGTCGTTTATTCCAGTTGGCGTATTCTTACTTGTCCCCTTCCCAACGTGCTTTGTTCTGTGTTACCTCCCATCAAATTCGACACCTCATCTTTTCCTTTTCTTCCCATCTTTGTCGGCATTTGGAGTAGATTCTGCAGTTGGGCATGTGTCCTACCCCTCAGACGTTCATCTCCATTACTTACATCATGTCATGGTTTCTGCTTCCTCAGGATATCACCTACCACCTGTAGCTATACTTCAGACTTTGTGTGACTGTATCGAATAGCCTAAAACTGATCTTAACAAAGTACAGATGTCTTACTTTTCATTGTCTTAGTACTAGCATACCATTATTTTGTAAAATACAATCACATTTCGGTTACCAAAAAGTACATATATATATATATTATTACTATTTACAATTAAATTCTTAAACTTCAGTTATTGTCCCCAGTGGGATAGATGGTAAGTATACAAACCAACATTACTAAAATCTGGTATTCAATTCCCTGTGGTGGACACAGCAGATAGCCCAATGTGGCTTTACTTGAAAGCCAATGAACAAATTTCAGTTATTTTTAGAACATAGAACTGAAAATAAATAATATATGGAAAACAATGATCTCTACTACTTATGATGTTACTAAGTGTTTGTGTACTCGTGTTGTACTTGCTATAAGCCTTGTTGAATTTTGCATGTAGAGGATGGAAAAAAAAATTGTAGGTTTTCTAAATGCATTTTGAAATAAAAAATTATAAATTATTATACTGATAGCACAAAATTCTACTATAATTTATTAACCTTATTAACTAAGCTGTATTTGTGTGTAAAAAAAATCTTGTTTGTGATCAACATCACCACTCTTCAATGGTTATAATGGCTTTAACAGCATAAATACTTTTAAGAAGGATTACATAGTTCAAAATGAGCACTTTTGATTGGTTATAAACATGTACTGTACAGGAGTAGGCATAGGTAAACAAGTATTTTCAAAAGTGGGTGGAGCCATTGTGATGGGTTCCCTAAATATAATGATATCTCAGCAAATAGAAAAGGAAGGAGGTACTTATTTTATGTTTTAGCTTATCAGTAATGGTAATTTGAGTTTTAATTCATTAAAAACTGTAGACTTTACATGTTATAATGCCCACAATACAATCTGAGCAAATGCAGAAATACGATGTACCGTGTGACATACAAAAAATCAATATTTAGAAATATTTTTAATATTTTCTTTTGAACAAAGAAATTAAATAATGTACAGTACTAAAATTTGAATTACAAACTATAATTTGATTCCAAGTTTATGGATATACATTCATAAAATAGTAGTTTAATAAAATTTTGAATGTAAGTCTACAAAATGTGATGATACATGCTCTGACTCCTACCTGTATGGAAAGGGTTAAACTTGCATGTTCGACAATGAAATTATAATGTTTGAACATATTTGAGAAAATGTAAATTTTTCTATGGTATTAAGCTCCCAGTAGGGTGTTGTAAATGTTGGTTTTTAAAGGTTTAATAATTGTCAAGTGTTAAGCAAAATCAGAATGTTGTGAGTGCAAATAATATTTGTGTTTTTTCATAATGTGGTGATTATAAGAAACTGCAGTTCCTTGGAACAGTAGTTATTATGTATTAAATAAGAAAAGCTAGTATTAACTTATGAAAATTTTAGTTTGGTTAGATAGTATTAAGTTATTTTTCTTCTGAACATAAAGTTTGCAACTTTTACATGTACAGTGCAGATAGCCCTTGAGTAGCTTTGTGCAAAATTTAAGAAACAACCCATTCTCTATGAAAATACCTTTGCATGGGATATAATTGATTTTTGGTACATACAGAAGGTCGTAAAGCAGGCTTTAGTTAAATATTGTAGGTAACTTAAAATTCTTCTCTTTTACAGGGTAACCAAATATCACCTAGTCTAATTACTGACACCAAAGAAGCAGCTGAAAACAATGAGCTAAATATTCATAACAAGTAAGCCATTAACTTTTGTGTCATATCTTTAGAGCAGTGCTTCCCAACCTTTCGTGGCCTTCGCACCCCTCCCCTAAAAAGTGTGCATTAGACATTTCCATTTCCTCTTGGCAACATTTAGGGGAAAATGGATCTTGTATTGGCCTCTTCTGCACACCCCCCTGGACCCTCATCTGTTGGCATCCCCAGGGAGTGCCAACACCCTGGTTGGGAACCCCTGGCTTAAAGCATATGAAACCGAAAAAACCTGCCATTGTAATTATTCAAACGTGTTTACTATGTAAGTGAAATAACTGATGATGGTTAAATTCTTATGCAGTTTTTTGAATGAACAGTTATCTTTAATTTCATTTAATGTTTTTGTAAAGTATACACAATAAAGCTAAACATTTTTGACATTCATGGTAATCTATGTACAGTTATGAGCTGTTTAGAAATTATTCAACAACATTGTGGTTTGTGGGCAAGTTATGAAGATTTACTGATGTTTGTGTGTCTACTTTTTATGATGCAAAACTTTGAATGGCATGACTTAAGAAGTTCATTTTGATATGATTTCAAATTTTCACACGCACAGTTGGTAAAATTTCAATCAAAGGATATGTTACTTTTTAAAATATTGTTTTGTAAATACAGTCAAGTATTTAAGATCAAATATTTCTTTATCTTACTTCTGTGGATCTTATTGCAGAGGATCAGAGTCAAGTGAAAATCAGAAAGACCAAAGTACTGTAGAGAATGGAAGTGTGTTATGTAACAGTGTGAGGAATGACAAAGAGTTAGAAGAGACTCCAGGAAATGTGTATATAGGGAGTCCTCAACGGAGATGTGAATATATAAATGAAGGTCCTAAACAGCTAAAGAAAAACATAAAAAAAACTCAAGTAAGACAAAAGCAGTTTAAAATTTATTAATATTTAACAAAGTTTGGTGTGGATATTAAGAATCAGGTAGAGAAGATTTGGTAGATTAATGTTTCTGTGTGATAGTAGGGAGGATGAATAAGAAAGTTTTATTCTCAAAATCTGAGTTGTTCAGGTAAGGATAACTTAGAAAAAACGATTATGTATATATTAACATGTAACTTTTACATTTATTTAAAGTATCTAAAAATGTTTTGAAGTTATACTTGCATACATATCTTAAGTTATTTATATTTTTTCTTGCATAAAAATGTCCAAAGAGCAATTCTCATTTGAGCGAGTTGAGTCTAAAATAAAGAAAAACATATATTCAAAAAGTTCTAGAAGTTTGTCCTAATTTATCAATATTTTGTTGTGTAATTTAGCTACAAAATTACTTAATTCAGAATAATTATTAGAATCTTTAAGTTTCAAATTTTAGTTTCCAGTACTTTAATTGTCATTTTAATTAACTTGTTTTATGCACTGCCAAACCAAATTTCAGCTAATTGCCCAAAAATAAATTCTGCCGTAAGAGTGGCAAAACATTTCTTTCGGTATTGGATAATGATAGACTAAAGGTTGTGTCTGATTAGCCGTTTTTTAAGTATATCCTTAACGAACATTTTAAAAAATAATTGTTTAACTTGAAAATGTTAGTGAGACTTTACAGCAATAACTATCAACTATTTTTTTTAATGTTCAGATAAAAGAACTTGAAAATATAAATGCTTGAAGTCAATCTATTGACAGTCATACCAGGTAATAAGGGTGCATTGTAGTCCATTGTAACATATGATTTAACTCTTTCAGCATGGGTTCGGTCCCTGGGACCGACCTTGTAACCATTTTTGTTTGTTATAGTTTTCATGCTATAACTTTTACATTAATAAGCAAATGTTAACGAAATTTGGCAGATTATCGGTAAACCTTACAATGCTTTCATATACAAAATATCAAATTCTTTTTATTAAGTCTTAAGGTTTATAAAGCAATGTTTTTCTCATGTCTATTTTTCTTTTTGCCTGTTGCCTATCTATCATGCAAAGTAATATTCATATGAAGATTAAAAATACTCTTATGCATCAGAAAAGTTTGAAATTTCACATGTGAAATCTTTATAATGGCCAAATAGTTATCAAACATTTCTTAAGAAAAAACTTTATATTTTATCTGTTATTTTCAGTAATTAATCTCCGTACGGATTCGGTAGATTTGACATATCTCGCAACCACCAAAAAAAATTAGGAAATAAATATAAATTATGCCTCTTTCATTCTAGAATGACAACAAATTATAACACGAAACATAAATGTTTAGATTAAATAGCTTAAATCTCATAACATTATACATTTATATATATCTATTATTTTCATTATATTGACCTTTCAGTCATGTCTGGCTAACAATACAGAAGTTACAATGAGGCGGCTCACGCACACTCATGTTACCGTATCTGATAACATAAAACTGACCTTTGGTCTGTGCAAAGTAACCTGTGTTGGCTGTGTTTTAGTAGACTAGTATTTTGTAAAATACAGTCACATTTCATTTATTATACATTACATATGTATATAGATTATTGCTATTTTGAAATAAGTTCTTAAACATATTTTTCCTAAAGCACGGAACAATAAATAAGGAAATAAGGCAAACAATTACTTCTTCTAGTTATGACCTTTGTATTCGGTTGTTGCTTTATGTAGATTGCTAAGCCTTTAAAAATTTTTCACATGGAGAATATGAATAAACTATTTTTTTAGGTTTTATATATATTGAATAACTAAAAAATCAAAATTATTACATTAATACGATAGAATTCCACTGTAATTTATAAAGCTCAGTAACTAAGATGTATTTTAGTAAAAAAAAATATGAAATTTCGTGCAGACTAAAGACATATTGTCTCAAAAGAAAGAAATAGCACCAAATCCATTAAAATGGCTAAGAAAGCTACTAGGGGGACATTGTGAGCTTTCGATTGGTTAATCATGTCATATATAGAAGTAAATGTATATAAGGGAGCATCTCAAAAATGAAAAGATCAAACACAGGGTGCCACTGTGTTTGATTTATTACTTGAGGAATATCTTAGCCAATTGAAGAGATAAGAGGCTCTTATTTTATGGTCTAGCTTGTCAATATCTGTAATTTGAGTTTCTAATTCGTTCGAAACTATAGACTTAGTATTTTGACTTCACAAACATCTAATTTGAACCAGTGCTGCATTCAACATACCACATGACACACAAAAATCAACGTTTATCTGTGTTTTTTAATATTTGTTTCTAATTTCAAAATTGAGTAATATATAGTACTAAAATTTGAATTATAATCTACAGTTTGA